CGTCGAGACGTTGCATAAAACTTTAATCAGTGATTGTTGTTCTATATTTATAATACTTACGATCATGACAAGTATCACCAGAATAACCATCTGAACATCCAGTCTGTCCACAACGTCCTGTTTTTATATCACATGGTCTCTTTTCTTTGCAGAATCCACAAGAATGAAAACAACTTTCTCCAAATGATCCTTGTGCACACTCTTGATAAATAAATTTGTTTATATTATCTTTAAAATAATGTTATTTTGTCTGCAATAGACATACCGCGGATAAACCATTCTACGCGCAAAATAGAAAGAAGGTTTTTACGGATGTTTAATTAAGGAACTATAAAGTGTCGGGAATAACACACTAGAAATTTTAGCCCAGTGTCCTTTCAAACTATTAGCCCGAAGTGTACGATGCTATGCTAAGATTTGTGGTATAACTGCATAAAGTAACACAAATAAAATAAGCCAGTCGCCAAATGAAAGCCAGATGCAGAATTGTTTTTGTTTTAAGGCCGTTAACATATCCATTTATCTTTGCAATAATTGTAAGATCGATTGATTTTTCCCTACCTTCAGTACAGTTATTTCCTTGATATCCAGCCTGACATCCTTCAGTACATCTTCCTGTTTTCTGTTCACAAATATCAGTATCATTACCACTCTCTGGTTGTTTACAGTTATAGCTACAGTTATTTTGACATAAATCGCCATGTTTACCATTTTTGCATCCTAAACAATCACCAGTTTGTTGATTACATTTGATACAGTTTAAAGGACATCTTTTATTACAATCTGATTCATACCAACCGTCGTTACATTCTTTACATGTATAATAACTAAACTGATCACATGATCTACAGTTTTGTTTACAATCAACTGAACATGTTTTACCTCTCTTTCCTTCAACACACCCATCTGAACATCTACTACCATCTCTTGAACATACAGAATTCAGACAGCCTTTAGAACAATTCCAGTGGCATTGTTTACCATAGAAGCCATCAATACAATTCTTACAGTCACCAGTACTTTGACTACAACCACCTTCACAATTTATACTACAGTTTTTATCGCATGTATTACTATAATATCCTGTCTTACACTGTTTACAGTTACCATTATACATAAAACATCCTCCTTCACAGTTCAGATTACATTGGTCTTCACATCGGCTACCATAAAACCCCAGAACACAGTCAGTACATGTTCCCCATGACTGATTGCAACCACCATTACAATTCTTACTACAGTTCTTATTACAGTTATCACCATAGAAACCATTTAAACATTTATTACATTTACCAGAACTCTTATTACATTTACCATTACAATTTTTACTGCAGATTTGATCACAATTGTTACCATAGTAACCTTCAATACACGATTCACAAAATCCATCAGATCGTCTACACTGGTTACAATTCTGGTTACAATGATCATCACATGATTCTCCATAATATCCAGTTTTACAGTTGATACATCTACCATTCTGTTTATCACATCCACCATTACAATTACTATTACAGATCATATTACATTGACTACCATATTTACCCTCAATACAACCTAATGTACATTGTCCATCTCTACTACAATATTTATCATTACCATTTGATACACATCCAGTACTACAAACTTTACTACATGTATCACCAAATGTTCCTACTTTACATTCATCACATCTTCCTGTATCTTGATTACATTTATTGATACAATTACTATTACACTTAGTCTGACATTGATTACCATACCATCCTGTCTTACAACTTGTACATTGATTATTATTACAACTAATACAGTTATATAGACAGGTATCCTGACAGTAATTACCTTTATAACCATTTATACAACCAGTGGTACAAGTTAGTCCAGATTGTGAAACATCACATCTTCCATCTAAACAGTTACTACTACATCTATCTGTACACCGTGCACCATGATACATATTATTACATGTACAGCTTCCATCTTGATTACATTCTCTTGTTGTACAGCCTTCACTACATGTAATATTACAGTAATCACCATAATATCCTACCATACAGTGATTACAAATACCACTAGTTTGGTCACATCCTCTAAAACAATTTGAACTACAGGATTTACCACATTTCTTACCATACTGTCCTTCTACACAACTTGTACAATGTCCTTTATCTTGATTACATCCATTTCGACATCTTCCATTACATTTACTATTACAATTAGAGCTATAATACCCTGTCACACATCCTTCATTACAATCACCATTATTATTATTACATTTACTTTTTAAACATGTAGTAGAACAAGGTGTATTACATCTTTTATCATCTCCCCAGTATCCTTCTTTACAACCATCATAAATACAGTCACCATTACTGGTATCACATTGATCTTTGATACATCCTTTACAAGATTTACCACATATATCACCATAGTATCCTGTATTACACCCTATACATGTTCCATTGATATAACATTTACTATCTCTACAGTTTACTGGACATCTTCGATCACACATTTCACCATGAAAACCAGGAATACAACCATCATTACAATAACCATTACCATCACATTTATTACCATTACAATTACTATTACAGGGTTGTTGACAAAATTCTCCATAAAACCCCTCTTTACATCCTATAGTACATCTATCTAATTCGTCGCATTTCTGGTCTATACAATTTTCACTACACCCACCACAATCTCCAGTTTGACTATTACATTTCTCACCATTACAATTACATTCTCTACAGGTTGTATCAGTAGGCCTACTGTAATAACCATCTTTACATTTAACACCTGTAATTAAGTTTCATTATAACATTATAACAGCTACTTAGTGATATCCAGCTGTCATCCCCAAATTGTTCTATCGATATAGTAGAAAATTAAGAACGGATAAACGAATCCTCCTGGGTGGCCTTTTTACCAGATCCTGTACAAGGGCCATAGTATTCGGTGTCGTGTACAGTGTGAGTTAGTCTATGCTGTAGAAAACTTTGATGAACCGAATAATATCAAATTTACCAATTTACAACTTGAAGTGAATAAAAGATAGCTTAACACGAAAAAATATACTGGTAGCTTTGATTTGAGTAAAAAATGATTGGCGGCACAGTAACAATCACCAGTAAAAAATATTTTGCGAATTCTAGAGTGTTTACAAGCTAAACATTGAACGCGTTTTCAAAACAAGAGCAATAATTAAAATTAAATAATTTTCGAAATTTCTGTTTTGTAATAGGGTTCATCCTTCGGTGAAAATTTAGAATCCGCCGAGAATTGTGCCTTCAGGATGTTTTCGACCAATTGTGGACGGACTATCGGACTTACGGACATAGGTGACGCCAATATACGCTCTACACTTCATTCCAGTGTAAAAATTTCTACGTCGCCATATTCAGTGTTTTAAAAATGAACGAAAATCTAAATGATTCAAATCCTGAAATTCAAAAAAAAAAAATTCTGAACTTGTTGATATGATTTTCAAATGACTAGCGTCTGAAGAATCATTCTTATGGTTCAACCTTAAAAACGTGCAATAATAAATCATTTAGACAGATATATTTTGTAATTGAAATTATTCCACTATATATACATGATTTTCTATGTTTTGAGTCGACAGTTTATCAGCTTCGTTTATATATTACTGACATAGATTTCAACCGTATTTTTGACCTACGGGGTGAAACCAATTTTCATTATCAAATATGAATTTATTATTTGTTCGCTGTTCTGTAACATATGTTTATTTTCCGAAATAACTAGAAATATTCTTTTAAACAAAAAACTATTCATTATAAGTGACCACTCTTTGTATAATTTGGAAATTAAGATTTCATTATTGATTCCAATTATTGATGAGTAGCCTAAATAAAAAATATTCTGCAGATTCTGGGTTGAAAATGGGTAAGTTGAACAGTTAGTATACGAGGTCTGGAACCGGACAAAATTCCAGAATATGAATATCCCGGACAGAATATTTCCGAATACGAAGTGGTCTGAATTTTCGACTATCCTATACTTAATTTTACCTTTCAAACAGATTAAAAAAATGATTTCTAAAATAAATTATCTTTCTGAAATTTCATTCATTCTATCATATATTAATAACGAACACATGAACAATTAATTTAACGATATTATAATGTAATAAATCACCTTGTTGTATTTCAACTTCACAAACAGAAACAATACCAGTTGGTACTGTAATAAATATAAACTGTCCTTCTGTAATATTACAATTATCTACTGCATAAATATCTTCTGACCTAGAACTTCTATCTTTATAACAAACTTGACTAGATTCAAATGTACTTTGATCACATTCTCCAGTTTCACTCACTTTTATAGAGAATCCTTTCAATCTTTCCTTGTCTGAAATTATAAAAGTATTCATATAATATGTTATATCAAAAATATCTAAACAGTACTTGATACAAGTTGTTACTCAGAGTTTCACAACTGCGTAGGTAGATGTGTACATTTCGAGACAAGTTTGAAACACCATTCTTTGATAATGATATTGTCACTGTTAAATATATCGATATTGATGTTGATATTGATAATAATATATTTTTATCTTTTGGTAGTATAACACGCCTGGAAGATTCTTACTTCAACACCCATCATGGCCCAGCTTTCTGTACGAGTTGGTGTATAATTCTTTGAACAAGAAAGCGTTTCCTGATTATTTAACCTCTTATACACTGCATTCATAAAATATCTGTTCTTTAAGGTTTCCAGGCATTGGAATAGATTGCTTGGAAGCAAACTGAGTATTCCATTCATTGGCTGTAAGTGTGTATATAACAGTTTACTATAGTATCAAAATGTCAAGATTTAAACCATTCAATCTATTATATTAAGTACTCACTAGTTTTTCTGTTATACAGTATAATAGATTGAAATTGTTGAGTTGACTGTAAATCAACACACCACCATGGATCTTTATGATTTTTAGTATGTGTACAAGATCCACTTCTATAATCACTATCAGTATTACCATCTACAGCATTTGATGATACACTTTTCTTTCGTCCATTGTTAGTATAGATTGAACTTTGTCTTGTTTCTTTACCCAAAGCTATATTTTCTACAGACAAAATTAGAATCATTTTGAATAGTGCATGTTAATAACTAAATTCATAAAAGAATATGTTATCTATTATAAAAGTCTATTTACCAGTTTTTATCAATGTTTCTAGTTTTATAGTATATTTATATAAATATATAGAAGTAAGTAAAATCTTACCCGAAGTACAATATCTACATGTTTTTATATAGTGGTCTATATTCCAGTTTTTATCAATATTTCTAGTTTTATAGTATATTTATATAAATATATAGAAGTAAGTAAAATCTTACCTGAAGTACAATATCTACATGTTTTTATATCGTTGTCTATATTCCAGGTTTTATCAATATTTCTAGTTTTATAGTATATTTATATAAATATATAGAAGTAAGTAAAATCTTACCTGAAGAACAATATCTACATGTTTTTTATAGTTGTTTATATTCCAGGTTTTATCAATATTTCTAGTTATATAGTATATTTATATAAATATATAGAAGTAAGTAAAATCTTACCTGAAGTACAATATCTACATGTTTTTATATAGTTGTCTATTTTCCAGGTTTTATCAATATTTCTAGTTTTATAGTATATTTATATAAATATATAGAAGTAAGTAAAATCGTACCTGAAGTACAATATCTACATGTTTATATAGTTTTCTATATTCCAGGTTTTATCAATGTTTCTAGTTATATAGTATATTTATATAAATATATAGAAGTAAGTAAAATCTTACCTGAAATACAATATCTACATGTTTTTATATAGTTGTCTATTTTCCAGGTTTTATCAATATTTCTAGTTTTATAGTATATTTATATAAATATATAGAAGTAAGTAAAATCTTACCTGAAGTACAATATCTACATGTTTTTATATAGTTGTCTATATTCCAGTTTTTATCAATATTTCTAGTTTTATAGTATATTTATATAAATATATAGAAGTAAGTAAAATCTTACCTGAAGTACAGTATCTACATGTTTTTATATCGTTGTCTATATTCCAGGTTTTATCAATATTTCTAGTTTTATAGTATATTTATATAAATATATAGAAGTAAGTAAAATCTTACCTGAAGAACAATATCTACATGTTTTTTATAGTTGTTTATATTCCAGGTTTTATCAATATTTCTAGTTTTATAGTATATTTATATAAATATATAGAAGTAAGTAAAATCTTACCTGAAGTACAATATCTACATGTTTTATATAGTTGTTTATTGTCCAGGTTTTATCAATATTTCTAGTTTTATAGTATATTTATATAAATATATAGAAGTAAGTAGAATCTTACCTGAAGTACAATATCTACATGTTTTTATATAGTTGTCTATATTCCAGGTTTTATCAATAGTTTCTAGTTATATAGTATATTTATATAAATATATAGAAGTAAGTAGAATCTTACCTGAAGTACAATATCTACATGTTTTATATAGTTGTTTATTGTCCAGGTTTTATCAATATTTCTAGTTTTATAGTATATTTATATAAATATATAGAAGTAAGTAGAATCTTACCTGAAGTACAATATCTACATGTTTTATATAGTTGTTTATTGTCCAGGTTTTATCAATATTTCTAGTTTTATAGTATATTTATATAAATATATAGAAGTAAGTAGAATCTTACCTGAAGTACAATATCTACATGTTTTTATATAGTGGTCTATATTCCAGGTTTTATCAATGTTTCTAGTTTTATAGTATATTTATATAAATATATAGAAGTAAGTAAAATCGTACCTGAAGTACAATATCTACATGTTTTTATATAGTTGTTTGTCTATTTTCCAGGTTTTATCAATATTTCTAGTTTTATAGTATATTTATATAAATATATAGAAGTAAGTAAAATCTTACCTGAAGAACGATATCTACATGTTTTTATATAGTTGTCTATATTCCAGGTTTTATCAATGTTTCTAGTTTTATAGTATATTTATATAAATATATAGAAGTAAGTAAAATCGTACCTGAAGTACAATATCTACATGTTTTATATAGTTCTTTATATTCCAGGTTTTATCAATGTTTCTAGTTTTATAGTATATTTATATAAATATATAGAAGTAAGTAAAATCTTACCTGAAGAACAATATCTACATGTTTTTATATAGTTGTTTATATTCCAGGTTTTATCAATGTTTTTAGTTTTATAGTATATTTATATAAATATATAGAAGTAAGTAAAATCTTACCTGAAGAACAATATCTACATGTTTTTATATAGTTGTCTATATTCCAGGTTTTATCAATATTTCTAGTTTTATAGTATATTTATATAAATATATAGAAGTAAGTAAAATCGTACCTGAAGTACAATATCTACATGTTTTCATACAGTAGGTTATTTTCCAGATATCAGCAAAAGATTTAGGACACTGACTACTACAATATGTAGCTGTAAGTTTATCTTTACAGACTTGTAATCCTATAGAACAAATGATTGTCTTTTAAAATACATATCTAAAACTAAATATAAACTATCCTATAAATAAATGCAAGCCTTGTAAACAATTTATCGAAAACATGCATCTATTTTGAATGTATTGTATTTATTACGACATCATAGAGGAACCTTATACTAATGTAACATCAGTGAGTACGTACTATTTAATTGTAGACAAACTGAATTGTAGATTTAAATTCTGAAAAGTTATTTAGACTTCAAATAAAATATAGAATATTTAGATATCATGTCTCTAAGAATAAGACAACTCAGTTAGTAGTTTTAATAACCATTGAGCGATGAGTGAGAATCTGAAGCTGAATAGAAAATTTTAATCGAGTTATGTGGGCCTAATCAGAATGATTTGTAAGTGCTGTTGAACCCGCCACTGAATTAAATCAAAACATCATAAATAGATTGTAAACTTACCTTCACAACAAAAACTTAAAATAAATAACAACAAAAAACGGAGTTTCAACTCCATGTTAAATCCGAACCCTTAGACATTAATATAATTCAACTATTTAACTAGTAAAGATAAAGAATAAACTTCCCGGTTGAATCATACATACTATACATATAATATAGGAAGATACACTTGGGACAAATCGGAAGTTGGGTTTACTTATGTTTCACTTTTAAACGACACATGAATATATTCGGAGTCGAATCA